CGTTCTTTTTTTTTTTTTTTGTAAGTAATGCCCCTTCTAACTAAATGTAGGCAAGGGCCTTCTTTTCTGAAAAACGAAACGTATACTTTCCTTTTCTATTTGACGGCCGCGCCCTTTGTTCGGCATGTCTGCCTACTTCCCCTTTTTTTCTTTTTCTTGACTTTTTTGTCGTAGGTTCTCGGCGCCATTTTCTTTTGAACTTGCGCCAAGTCGTAGGCGTCGAGTTCCAACTGTTTTGAACTCCCTGAACTCCTGGGCATTATTTGCGAGCAGCCCTCTTTCTTTTTGTGGTGTTGCCTGATATCTCGAAGAAATCGAACCATCAACCTTAGTAACTCACTAGTGTCTTGGCTCTTGGCCGAGGCATAAGTAGGTGTGCCCACGGCCGAGTTTTCCGAAATGCGGCGCGCCCAAAAAACTTTAGGAGATAAATCATGCCGAACCATGGGCTCGCTTAATAGGCGCGGCTTTGCGCACCCTAGCACCCTCGGCTCCCCTCGTATTGACACACCTTTCAAGGTAGATCGGATGTCTTCGATCCCAAACCCTCGAAAAGACTCGCCCTGTTGCGCATCTTTTCGCGGCTTTTCCTGCTGGGTCTTTTGAGCAGGGGGCTCGGTCATTTCGACCGAGCCGGGTACTTTCAGAGGAGCGTCGTGGGTTTGGCCGAGATAATCTCGGTCAGCCGGCCATCGAGGTATAGTCACCTGGTTCTGCTGATCTGTATCGTAAAGGGAACCCAAGCGCGTTTGCATTGTCGTCTGACTGGCCGAATCGTGTATTTGCAATGATAGTGCAACAGTCATGCCTTTTTGCTCGCATTGTTGTGGTAACGCTTCGGTCATACTGCTTTGGCCGAACTGTGCTTGATTGGCCATAGTATGGGTTGGGCCGAATTGCTCGGCCGTAGACACCGTAGGACTCCTCCTGAATGCTTTGGCTAGAGCGTGGAGTGGGCTACATGCTTTCTTTGCCGGTTGGTTTGGCCCGGGATTCGCCCTTGTGGGTTGGGCCTGCCCCCAGCTGTTGGTCGGCGGCAAAGGATGCTGGCCGTAGCCTAACGCTTGGGTACGGGAAAAGACGCCGAGGCTGCTGCTTTCGCCGTATGGCTCAATCCTTTCACATTCCTGACTTCTATGTCCGGCTCCAGGGAGTGTTGCGGGCGAAGTCATCGGCATTTTCTCCTGGAAAAGCGTTCGTAGCTCTGAAGTGAATCTGTCCACTGTGGCCATGAAGGATGTCTCCATCCTGTAAGCCTGCCTGGATATCAAATCCTCCATTACTGCTTGTTCCTGTATGGACTCGGCCGTACGATCCGTCATTACTGGAAAGCTGGCCGAGATCCCGACCGTATGTTCGGTCTCGGTAAATGGTGAAGTGGACTCAGGAGTCTCAGAAGTCATTTCGACGGTTTTGTTTTTTAGCTTTGCCTGTGCCCTAGTTTCCACCATAAATTTTTGACAAGAATCCCACCGGGCGTGCCAAAAGTGTCTGCCGCGCAAATCTCACGGCCTGGAGTTCCGGGCCGAGGGGATATGCGTTAACACGCGGTTTCCTGCTTTTGGGGCTTTTGGGTGCGGTGCGGTTTGTGCGCGGGCGTGCCAGCACGGTCTACCGTGCGTCGATGTGTTGATGAGTGTTGGATGGTTGAGTGGTGCGCCTGTTTGAACTCGTCTTCCTAATCAAACGATTGTAGCCGAGAGAGGAACTGGTCTCGGCTGTTAGGTTCACGGCCTGAACTACAAGGTCGTTGAGTGATGGTGTAGGTGGTGGGTTTTGGGCGGTGCTCCGGCGCGCTGCTCAGGAGCGACGGTCGTATGATATATGGGGTGAGTGAACGAACAACAAGGATGGTGCTCCGGCGCCTTGAAAATCAAGGGTCGTATGATATATTGATGAATGGATTTTCCTTACAATCTACCACTACTCCTAGGAAAGCAAGTAAAGATATTGAAAGTGCATTATAGGAAAAAATAAATTGCTCCGTGGGAGGCTTTATTTTGGTGTTGAACCCTTTGAATGTAGCTCGAGTCTTGTATTTATAGGAAGAGTCCCTGCAGGAGTAATCGAGGCTAAAAATCTGCATGGTGGAGCTGGATTGGAGCAAGTGGGCAGTCCAATCGACATTTGGGATCGTGAAGTAAGGTGGTGTGACCCCGGAAATCTCGGTGAATCTCGGCCGCCGCTCTTGATCGTGGGTTCTGAGCTTCTGGCCATGGAGACGCATTTATGGCCTGGATAGCTGGTGAACCAATATCTCAGGCTGTCTGAATTCTTGTGAGAATGTCCACATCTAATCACTCTGATCCCCATCACCAAATTCTGACTTCAGTCACTTCCCACCTTCCCTCATGCATTAAATGCTTCTTTGTGGCCAATGGGTTTGCTGCATTAAACAGGCACTACTTCATTAAATGAAGCCTGGGTCCCTGTTATAACGTGATGATCTGACTTTAATATTCCTGGCCGTGATTTTGCTTGGCCTTGGCCTCGGCCTGCGCTTGAGGCTGAGATGATCATGCCTTAGCATTTCTTCTTTTGTCTTTAGGAAGGCGAAGTACCCTGGCGAAACGCTGTGTTTCAGCTTTTACGAACAAGTGTCAGGGCCGAGAGAAGGGGCTCCTTCGGCCAACTTATGGCCGTGATTTATCAAGCACAAACACCTCCGTATTTGTCCATGAATTTCTTCAAAACTTCAACTGTTTTCGGGAATACGAAAGCACCCTGGAACGTCGCATATCCATCAAATTTGTAGCAAAGTGGAAGAAGCTCATCGACGGACCGAAGAATTTTGACGCCACCATCAAAGAAGGCTTTGAACGCAGTGAAAGAATTCTCCCAATCCTGCCAGGATAGATTTCCCTCTAATAAATGCCCCATGGGGGCACTCTTGGTGGGAACATCACCAACCTGCAGACTCTCGCTAGTAGCTTCACCACGAGGCGATGCTGCTGGAAGGTTCAGAGTCCTGCCAGCAGCTGTGTCAGATGTTCTAGGAAGAGGAGAAGTAGGAGGCGGCACCGCTGGGAGGTGCAGGGCGGCATCAGCAGCTGCGTCAATTGGAGGAGTATAAGGTGTACCCTCTGCGCCTTGTGGAGCACCCTCAATCTAATAAAAGAAACAAAAACAAGTCAAGATGACAGATGGCACGAGAGGAGGCAAAACCAAAGCATAGAGGAGGAAAAACATACGATGAATACCTTGTTGGTAGCTTGTGTGGTGTCGGTGACAGCAGCAGGAAGACTAGAGCCAGCCTATGTGGAATGGCATGTCATGTCTTTAGCGGTAAGGACAATCTGCAGAAGAGGAGCGGAGCATGAATTGTGAGTTAAAGCAGGCAGTGCGCGACATATATATGTAAATAAAACAAGCAGGAAGGGTGTCCGATACTGGTTCAACGTTAATGCGTCGCCCGTGGCTGCTAGCAAATCCGAGAGGCATGTTTGAGGCATCTGGCTCCTTCGAGTGAGTGTTGGGATCCAGGTAGGTGCCTTCATCAAGGCAGTAATATTGGTCTTTGTCCAGGTCCTCATCCATGCCACTTGTGTCGTGAATCCTCTCTTGCTCATGGGTGCTAATCCCAGGTTCTACAGCATCATCTTCGTCACTTCCATCATCATCAACTGCCACCACTACCTTAGGTCCCGAGCTTTTAGTCCTGCCTTTGTGGGCGTCAGCAAACCTTTTTTGAAGTATGCGCATGCTTCGGTGCTTTGGAATCGCGTCAGCAAACCTTAGTCTCTTGGTTAAGTAAAAAACAAACTAGTGTCGCCCTTTCCTCCACTGAATCTGAATATATTGCTGCAGGAAACTGTTGCACTCAATTAATGTGGATGAAACAAATGCTAAGAGATTACGGTGTCATTGAGAACACCTTCCTTGTCTACTGCGATAATATTTCTGCCATGTGCCTTGCTAAAAATCTCATACAACATACAAGAACCAAACATATTGATATTCGACATCATTTTATCAGGGATCTTGTAGAAGATGGAATTTTAAAACTTACTTATTGTCCCACTGAGCATCAACTTGCAGATTTGTTAACCAAACCACTTGATTCTCCCAGATTTGAGTTCCTACGAAAATCTATAGGTATTGGACCAAAAGAGTAAAAACTGCACTGCGCATTTGTTCTTAATTTTCCCAACAAAAAAAACGGTGTTTCTACTTTTTTTTCTGTTGCGGTGCAGTTCTTATTCTTTTCCTTATCTAACTCAGTGTTTCGTATGTTTTCCATTGGGCTTCATATCAAAAGTTCAATTCTAGCTAGTATGGGATTAATACAAGAGATGTTGTATTAATACTTCCACCAGGATTGGCACATTCGCACCCTTTCTGTGGTTGTTTGTTTATTTGTTTTTTTTCCCTTGTAATTTTCCTTTTTTATTGTGTGTCAGCTTGTTGTTCCCAAGGGTAAGTTCTCTCTCTCTTACTGGCGTTGTTTTTTTTTTCTGACAGTTTGTTGTTTCCTAGGGCACACACTCTCTCTCTCTCTCAAGACGTGTTCTTGTGCCTCCTCTCCTCAGTTTCTCCGCCCCTCCTCTCAGTTTCTCTAACTCTCTCTCTCTCTCATCTCTTCGCATCCCATCTCTCATCTCTCTGCTTCAATGGAAGAAACCGCCTCTGGCTCCTCTCACGTCACTAACCCGACTCCTTCAGGCACTCAAGGGCCACCTCCTGCTGGTCCATCTTTTCATCCTTCATCTCCGGGCGATCAACCCTCTCTGTTTGTCAAAAGGTTCTCTTCCTCCTCTGAGCAATCTCGTTTCGATTCTGTCACTATTTTTTGAAAAATTCTGTCTGAATGTGTGTTTAGTCTACGCTCTATGCCTAAGGAATTTCTAGCACTTGTCCATAGGCTCTCTCTCAAACCTCTGTGCACACACATTCAACAGTATAATGAACACATTGTGAAGGAAGTTTTTGCAAACATTCCATCTGATATTGACATAGTGTTTGTGCTTGATAAATCACGGCCATAAGCTGGCCGAAGGAGCCCCTTCTCTCGGCCCTAGCACTTGTTCGTAAAAACTGAAACACAGCGTTTCGCCAGGGTACTTCGCCGTTCTAAAGACAAAAGAAGAAATGCTAAGGCATGATCATCTCGGCCTCAAGCGCAAGCCTAGGCCGAGGCCGAACAAAATCACGGCCAAGGCATTAAAGGCAAATCATCACGTGACAGCAGGGTCCCAGGCTTCATTTAATGAAGTAGTGCCTGTTTAATGCAGCAAACCCACTGGCCACAAAGAAGCATTTAATGCATGAGGGAAGGTGGGAAGTGACTGAAGTCAGGATTTGGTGATGAGGATCAGAGTGATTAGACGTGGACATTCTCACAAGAATTCTGACAGCCTGAGATATTGGTTCACCGGCTATCCAGGCCATAAATGCGTCTCCACGGCCAGAAGCTCAGAACCCACGATCAAGAGCGGCGGCCGAGATTCATCGGGATTTCTGGGGTCACACCACCATACTTCACGATCCCAAATGTCGATTGGACTGCCCACTTGCTCCAATCAAGCTCCACCATGCAGATTTTTAGCCTCTATTACTCCTCTAGAGACTCTTTCTATAAATACAAGACTCGAGCTACATTCAAAGGGTTCAACACCAAAACAAAGCCTCCCACGGAGCAACTTATTTTTTCCTGTAATGCACTTTCAATATCTTTACTTGCTTTCCTAGGAGTAGTGTTAGATTGTAAGGAAAATCCATTCATCAATATATCATACGACCCTTGATTTTCAAGGCGCCGGAGCACCATCCTTGTTGTTCGTTCACTCACCCCATATATCACACGACCGTCGCTCCCTGAGCAGCGCGCCGGAGCACCGCCCAAAACCCACCACCAACACCATCACTCAACGGCCTTGTAGTTCAGGCCGTGGACCTAACAGCCGAGACCAGTTCCTCTCTCGGCTACAATCGTTTGATTAAGAAGACGAATTCAAACAGGCGCACCACTTATCCATCCAACACTCATCAACACATCGACGCACAGTAGACCGTGCTGGCACGCCCGCGCACAACCGCAATGCACCCAAAAGCAGGAAACCGCGTGTTAACGCATATCCCCTCGGCCCGGAACTCCAGGCCATGAGATTTGCGCGGCAAACACTTTTGGCACGCCCGGTGGGACACTTGTCAAAAAATTTATGGTGGAAACTAGGGCACAGGCAAAGCTCAAAAACAAAGCCGTCGAAATGACTTCTGAGACTCCTGAGTCCACTTCACCAATTACCGAGACCGAACATACGGTCGGGATCTCGGCCAGCGTTCCAGTGACGACGGATCATACAGCCGAGAGTGGTGGAGGAACTGATGTCCAAGCAGGCTTACAGGATAGAAACATCCTTCATGGCCGCGATGGACAGGTTCTCCTCAGAACTGCGAACGCTCTTTCAAGAGAGGATGCCGGTGGCCTCGCCCGCGACACCTCCCAGAGCCGGACCGAGGGGCCAAGAGCACGACAGAATCGAGCCTTACGGCGAAAGCAGCAGCCTCGGCGTCTCGGCCCACACCCAAGCGTTAGGCTACGGCCAGCATTCTTTGCCGCCGACCGACAGCTGGGGGCAATCCCAGCCCACAAGGGCGAGTCCCGGACCAAACCAATCGGCAAAGACAGCATGCGGCCCACTACACGCCTTAGCCAAAGCATTAGGGCGGGGTAGCCCCGCGTTGTCTACAGTCAAGCATCTCGGCCCAACCCATACTTTGGCCGACCAGGCACAGCCCGACCAGAACGGTGCGATTGGAGATTCACCACAGCCACGTGATCAGAATAGCTCAACCGCTACACTACTATTACAGATACGCAATCCGGCCACTCCAACGACGACGCAAACGCACCTAGGTTCCCATTATGACGCAGATCAACGGAACCAGGTGACCATACCTCGATGGCCGACGGATCGAGCTCATCTCAGCCAAACCCACGGCGCTCCTCTGAAACTACCCGGCTCGGTCGAAATGACCGAGCCCCGTGCTCAAAAGACGCAGCAGGAAAGGCCGCGAAAAAATGCGCAACAGGGCGAGCCTTTTCAAGGGTTTCAGATCGAAGACATCCGATCTGTCTTGAAAGACGTTTCAATACAGGGGGAGCCGGGGGCACCAGGGTGCACAAAGCCGTGCCTATTAAGCAAGCCCATGGTTTGGCGCAATTTATTTCCTAAAGTTTTTTGGGCACGCCGCGCCTCAAAAAACTCGGTCGTGGGCACATCTCCTTATATCTTGGCCGACGGCCATGACACTAATAAACTATTAAAGCGGAAGGTTCGTTTCCTTCAAGTTTTCGGGCAACGTGGCCGGAGGAAGAAGGATTACTCGCGGATAACGCCCAGGAGTTCAGAGAATCCGAAAGAGTCAAGACTTGACGTTTACAACTCTGCACAAGTTCAAAAGAAAATGGCGCCGAGGACCTACGACAAGAAAGTCAAGAAGAAGAAAA